AGTGGTTATAAGTTAGATTTATGAAGACAAAAAGACTTCTTACAACTGTGTATTTTGAACAGATTTATGACAGGGCTACAGAATCAGCATGGAGGGTCCACAAGGCAGGAATGCAGTAGGGGTAACAGGAGAGTGTCATGTAGACCTTAAATAGTACAATTCTTTCCACATTCATAAATCCTAAGTGCCTAAGGTTGTATACTGTTGGTTATAAATTACGCAACTGAGTTCTGCAGAAAAAAAAAAAAGACTTAAAGTGAGAAATCATCTCCATAAGAACTTCTACATTTCATATTAAAGAACCTGTTTCAAATTACTTCGCTAAAAGAGTATTATTTCCTGTTTTAAGTCTTTTGATTGGTAAAAAAAATAAACCAGATCTCTATGAAGAGTAAAACAACAAAACACATATGCCTACTGATTGGTCTTCAGAAAAATGGAGAAAAGTTCTCACATTAATTTACAAACACCAGCTCACGATGATTCGATAACCCCAAATAGCTAGCTTAAAAAAAAATGTTCAGTAGCAAAAGAACATATTTTACCAAGTATTCTAATCTGTTTTGAGCTCTACAGCTGAGGTTAAGGTACCTATCAAACTTTATGATTTTATTACACCTGAGGTGTTATAAAAAACATGAGCATCAAACTGAGCATACTTAATCAAAACACATTTAATGCTATTTTAATGTATATAACGCAATACATAGTACAAATCTGTATTTGCCATGTATATGTGCACACACTTAGAACCCTCAGTAGTAATGTTCAGCATTTCTAGTAATTAGAGTGGTTCTTTACAGTCTTTTGGGCTACAGAATGAGGCTCAAAACTTTCTTGCTATTAGTCACTATATTGCTAATCTGATCCCACACTAACTAAAGCAAAATCAAAGACTATCAGTGTCTTCAGCAGGTCCTAAAGCTATGTATAAAAGATAATTGCATACTCAGGGGAAAAGTCTCGGGTAGGTTAGCTTGTGAGAAGTAGCTAATTATTTAATGCTAACCCCCCCAGTAAACACTCTCACTCTGCAACTGCAGTGCCTTTTGCACTGTTTGGATTTACCCACTGTGGATGCTCAGAAGACCAATTCATAGAATCTCAGCTGGTTTAAGCCCTTTTAGCTTTGCTTGAGCTAAATTAGCTCATACAGTTGAGGATTCAGCCCCTCCTTGTCCACCTACGTGGAGCAGAGGTGACACCAGACAGTGGCTGTGCCGCCATCTACCGTAGGTTTTGCATAGCACTGCTTGGTCCAAAGCCCACAGGAATAGCTCCAGCAATGTTTCCCACTAATATCCAGGCTCAATGACACAGACTCCACTCCCTAAACACGTACCTAAATAACGGCCCGATCCTGCAATCCTTGTTCAGGCAGAAGTCCCCCTACACACTGCAGGCTAGCTGTTACCGGTCTTCAGCTACCTATCCTGTAAATTTGAAGTTTGTGTGCTTCATAGCACTATTAACGGTTGCCTTAAAAGTAAACTGAACCTAGTATAATACTCAAAAATACAGTCAAGTTTTCCTGAACCATCTTATCCTATATCATGTAGCCCAATGCATGCCATCCATTAAACCCAAAGACTTTCATTATCTTCAAGAAAGCCTTCCGGGTGCAAGTCAAGTCAGGATCTGCACACACGCAGCTCTTTCTCAATTTTAATATATGGCTTAAGCTTCTCTTGGTCATCCCAGATCCGAAGCTATAGTGAAAGCTTTTGTTATTGCTCTGTGGAGGCTTTTTGGTTTTGTTTTTCCCCCAACAAGTACCTAAGTCACCAGAAAGCAGTACAGCTCTCCTTACTCATGCATGCAAACAGGTCTATCAATAACAGGGGCAAGGGACTTCACAGCTGTGGTGCTGCAGGATGAGCTAGTAGTTGCATTTTGAGGACAGATTTCCAGATGTAAGGAACAATAAAACAAAACCTAAAAAGTGTCCTACTTCTATCTAGTGGCAGACACCCTCCAGCTGTGTCAAATACTGCAAGTTCACCCAGCCTCCTGACAGAGCAGTCAGAAGCCACCTCTGTTCCCATTGCCCTATAGGTACAGAAAGGCTGATGGAACAGTTCCAAGCAATCAGGTTGGAAAACATCTGCCAGAGTAAACTTCTAATTTAGCGCACTCTGCACAATATTTATAGAGCAAATCAATGAATGCTGCTTGAGCCATTTAAAGGCTGGAGACTAAATTCTGTTTTCTGAATGTTTATTCTGACTTTCTCCAACTGTTCTTACTTGACAGTGCTTCATTGGCTGCCAGCCATGAAAGCTGTTGTCTAATTACACAACATATCATGATCTTACAGCCCTACAGATAAGGCTTTACTGCAGCATAAATGGATTTTAAACATTAGCATATGAGAAAAGAAAATCAGCCCCCAAATTAGACTATTTCAAAGTCTCGTGTGTCAATAGTCACTAGTTTTTGTTTAGGAAAGCATGGTTTCGAAAGAGGAACTTGCATTAGAGATTAAATAGCCTTTAATGTTAAACAGGCTACAATTTAGTGGGCTGGCTGGCTAACCCTTTATGCGTGGCAGAAATCTATTCACATGTAATTACATATTTTAGACTATCTTGAAGATACCATATATTTGCATGGAATCAGTCCAGCTGGGGATTACAGCAGTATTATGATGGCACAGCTACACGTGAATTTATGAAAAGCATAGATTTGCTGAATCTTTTGCAACACGTTTCTACACAGACACCCTTGAAATAAAGGCACAGTGAATATATTCTTGAATGATCTCAGACTATGTACTTTCACAGAAAACACAATTTCACACTGCAAATTATAATGACTATTAAAGAAGAACGTACAACTGTTTATCTTCTGCTAACAAGATCCTAATTGTTTCGTATTTAACGATGTTGTACACTAGGTCTGACTTTGTGATGTAAGTGAGGTTACCAAATTCTAAGTTTTAAGATGATGGGAGTCCTTTCTTCACTCACTGCACATAAACTTGAGGCACAGGATACAAATATGTATAATAAAGGCATTGTTTTACTTTTATATGAAACAAATTACATTCTCCTCTCTTTCAGTAGATACGCTGCAGATGTTACAATAACCATGACATCATCAAGAATGCCAGTTCTCTTTCTGATGCACCAACTGGAAAACAAGGAAAAAAGAATCACACCCTGTAGTTGCAGGGGGTTGTTCTTGCACACAGACTGAAATAGTAGAAAGATGTGTATGTGCATTTCAGTGTATTCTACCTCTCCTTTGCAAGATCTCCCAGAAGCTCATGAATGTGTGCAACTTTACTCACTGAACAGTTCTGCTGGCTAAGTGGGACTGCTTAGATGAGTAGTTACCTCTCCAAGTACACTGTTGTCAGACTGGGCCGCCTATAGCCTTTTTGGCAGCAATGTTCTACATAGAATGCCTTGATGTTCTCAGAGATGAACGCAATGCTTTCAGAATCCCATTTTAGGGGAATGATGCTGTCGCCCTCCACAAACAAAAGTAATCTACAAAATACAGTGCTAGGACCTCATTCCACACAAATTCATCAAAGTGAAGCCTTCATCACAGCTCTGTTTTTCAAGCATTTGGCTTTCTATGAAATACAGAAAGGAAGGTAGTAAGATTCAGCTGCTTCGACATTTAAAGCTTTTACAAACACTAAGTGTATGATGAAGTATGATGTTGCAAGGTGGAGCAAGTGGAGTAGTGACATATGATACAGCAGCCCTCTCCTCCCTGTTTGTAAGCCTGTATTATGGGTATTTTAGAAATACAGCTGAATTAACAGTAGTGTCTATCATATAGCAGGGCAACCTGCTGAAGGACTCCATCCTTTACACATTAGCTAACAAGAGATCTACTTAAGGCACTTTAAGTTGCTTTAATTTAAGAGAAGATTTATCCCCAGGTTTATCTGGATTTATGCAAAACAACCCAAGCACCACAACGTGGTTCTCCACCAGTGAAGGATGTCAGAGAGTTTCCTCCAACAGTTGCATAACAGCTTACTTTCTCTGCATGCTACTACAGTGGGATGCAGCCACTTAGGGAGTTACAATGCAATATATTGTGATTACTACAGTTACTTCAATTTGAGATTGCGCAGGGAGGAAAACCGAATAAACGTTACGTTTCTAGCACTGACAAAAATACATTACCAGAAGCATGCTATTACTGAAAGCCTAATTAGTACTAGAGAAAAGCTGGAAACTTCAGCCATAGAAAAAGCTGTATGACTTTTGCTTTGAAATAATTTCTTTAAAAAAAAACCAAAACACAAGTGACAATGAAACGCGTGTGAGGTCTGCGCGGACCCAGCCCCAGATGTTCACCACGGAGCGAGTCGCGGAACAGCGGGCCGGCAGCGGCGGGGCGGGCGACGGGGACGCGCCGGGCACCCGCATCGTCTC